GGCGTAACAGACTTTTGTAAACAATGACTTCGCTCGATGATTTCTAGACACTCAAGGCTCGCCCAAGCAAATCAATATCACCATCAGGTGGGGAAGTCTTCCCCTAACCGATGGTTATGTTGGTTTGCGTGGGCGTGCCTTGAATTCCTGGAAATAATCGAGAGAAGTCATTGTTTACAAAAGCTGTTAGGCCCTAATTCCAGCTCTATCTAGACTTATTTGTAGTCACCTTGGTTTTCGTTTTCGCGGTGTAGCTACACCGGTGCTACACTGCCGTGCATCGAAATAGTTTAGAGTGTAGATATAGGATGCACTTTTTTTTACAAACAAATCGACAGTGAGCATGCATAAGGGCCTATACGCGATGATCGATTCTTTTCGTCGATTTTCTCTTTTGTTAATAACTCGCTAGATTTAACGTTTCTCGGTGCGTTTGCTGTTGCTTTTGATAGCCAATACAACCTGTTACTACTCTGCATTGAACAAATTCTAGAAAATGGTTTCGCTTAGCTGTAGCAATGCAAAGAGAAAATCGATGAAGAGAATCGATCATCGCGTATTCGCCCTTATGCATGCTCACTGTCGAAATCTCGATGAACATTTCAAATGGTCCTATCTGCTTTGATCGATTCTCTTCATCGACTTTCTCTTTTCATAACCACTGCTATGCAAACAGATTTCGCGCTAAATCTTCCACATAGTTTGATAAAGGAGGTTCTTATCTAGCGTCCAGAACGTCAAATACAACAGGGAAAGGTTTTGCAGCTGACCTTTTAAAATTTTTATCTAGAAATGATGTTGAGCTGTCAAAGACTTGCGCTTATTCCTGTTTAAGGCCGGTATAGAGATTGAAGCGAAGCGAAAATCTCACACAAAATACCACATTTTTCACCTGCGTGAAAAACGCAACTGGCAAATATTTCACTCGTTTTGAACTGTAAATATAGATACGATCCAGCGAAATCGAATTTTGTGGATCGCATCTTTTTCGTTTACGTTTACTTTTTTCACGCATGCACTGCCGGTAATTGCAAGTCAGTCCCATCTGCATTTTTATCAATTCAAGACCAACTATTGAAATGGCCTCAACTCCATTTTGTAAACAAATCTTGTAAGGCCATTTTCTCACAAACCGAAACCTACATTCGCAAACCTAAACCACAATCGGGTAGAGGATAAATTCCCCTACCTGTTCATTTTGTTGGTTTCCTTTGACGGACTTCGGTTCGCGAGGAAATGGCCTTACAATGTTTGTTAACAAAATGGAATTGAGGCCTTTTCAATTGTCTTGAATTTTGAGTTAGCATCATTATTCAGTTTATCGTTCGATGTTTTTTGAGATGTGCTATTGAAAAAATGTGGTTTGTTCAAGAAAAATGAAAATCAATACCAAGTCAAATTGCCTTGCCCCACAGCGAAAAGTAACCGCAAGTCAGTCCCATTAGAAAAAACATATGTTAGAAATGTTAGACAACAGATCGCATCATGAGTTTTGTCTCGAGACAGATTTTGTCCACTTCCCCCAGGGTATCTGGAACATGTCCGGATGTGGCCAATATAGTTCTTACGACACTCAGTTTGACCGCCAATGGATTTGGCTTTGAATTCTCATGTGATTTGATGTATCGCTTGATGGATTTTGATTTAAAAAGAATTTACCACTTCTCCGGGGATACCCGGAACATGTCCGTGTGTGGCCAACATGGTGCTGATCACTCATCATGACTCTTATTGATCTTATTTTTGAATTTTCATGTGAATTGATTTATCGCATGGTGGGTTTGGCACGTTTATGAAAAGCTCTGGTCTGATGAAGACTCATATACACCGGAATATGTTCCGGCCATTGCTCTGGAACCAGCGGAACAAATCTAGAAACATTCAATAACGTTAACGTTAGGTTACCACGGTATCTTTCTACTGTTCAATACTGTGCTAAACTAATGCAGCATCGTCATGGAATTCAGCCAGTTCTTTTTCTTTGCTAGCTGATGTCAGCATTTTCAGTGCAGTGTGACTTCTGCGATTCCAGTTTTCGATCTGAGGCAGATTTTCTCCCGAAAGATTGTGAAGTTCTAGACTGTGTCTGGAATTATAAATTGTAAATCGGCTGCAGTGTAATTGCAGTCGTTCCAAAACAAAGATTGCCTGTATCTTTAGAGAGATTGCAGCTTCTGTTAAAAAAGCTAGATTATATTGTGCTCACAAGGATGATGACCCCGGCGGAAGTTATTATAGGGGACAATTAAAGTTTTTCATCCAAATATACAGATTTGTAGCTCTTTTTTCATGATTGTAGCTGTAGTATTGTAATAGTTTGCACTTAGACTAATACGCGATTGATTGCCAGCTGCGTTCAAAATGCACTTCAGATATGTAGTACTTTCTATACCTGTTTCGACAGAAGAATCCCTCACCATCCTTCTCCAACGGGGGAGTTTGGTAAAGAGAGATGATCAATCCGATTTGTACTTTCCTAAAGTTGTCCTTGCTCGCTTTCTATCCAATTTTCACACTGCCGTTACTCTACGGAACTATCAACTCTAAACTTTCATCTCCTCATCTATCGTATAAAAGTAACCACCATCAACTAGGGGAAAAGTTGGCTTCGGCAATACCTTAACCTATTATCTTCAGGGGGTAAACAAAGTCCTAGAGCACTCAAATCTGGCCAATAGTTGCTCTGAAACACAATGTATCCACATGTCAAAATTGAGCTCTCAAGGACGTTGTTTACCCCCCTGACGATAATAGGTTAAGGTATTGCCGAAGCCAACTTTTCCCCTATGTAAATCGTTGACTACACGCAGAAGTAATACTAAACATAACATATAGGAGAATTTACGTATTCTCGGCAACCTAAGCAGCGACATTCTTTCTATAGCCTTTTTCTCTAAGGAACGCACACATATGCAGTATTGGTTTGTTTACAATCTATTGCTGCCAGCTGCTCTAACAAGTTCAGTCGAAAGAATTGTCAAAAACTGTTTTGAAACGCTTTTACAAAGCTCCAATCTTCTCTAGTGAGAGTGAGTATTGTCGGCAACCAGTTTTTCTTCGGCAACCGTTCCATTTGAACTGCATGTAAATCTGCTGTTCTATTATCGGCAACTCGAAATCAGCTACAATTTGTAGTGCGTGTGTTTCATTTCAAGAAAACCCTGCTAGATTGCTTTTTCTCAGTGGTAAAAATATAGTCAAATTGAAGCTGAAAGCATAAAGAATCGTTTGCATGCATTCAGCGAAGTGTTTTCGTAAGAAAATCCAGTGAAAATAGTGTTTCAATTTGGGTTGCCGAAAATAGTCTGTCATGCCGAAGCCGTCATTTCCCCTAGTCAAAGCAGTTTACTCATTTTTGACAACTCCATACAGGATGCAAAAATGAGTGCGATCTACCCAGCTGAGTAGATTCAATATAGCGTGTATAAGGTCTTTAAAGTTAAGTTTAAGGTATGAAAAGTTGAATTTTGTTACCGAAGGGCTTCGGGAGCTCCGAGCAATATTGGCGTCTTGCAGTGAAACTTTTCCAAGCTTTCGCCACCTACATTTCGAAGTAAGAACTACTAGAAGGAGGATAGTTTTCAAATTTTCCAAGTAAAACAGACGCTTTTGGGGGCAAATCGGTCCATAAAGAAAAACTAATAATTTCCCGTGGAAACTTTTGCTTGAATCGTGTAAGAAAACGTGTTTGAAAACTATTTGTTATTATTTCTGTATGGATTGGAGATGTTTTCATGGCAAATTATGCATAACAAGTTTGCACCCACGGGGAGCGGTTACCTCCTGCGTAGTTGCATTTTTCAGAAAATGGTAAATATGTGTGATTTTCACTAAGATGAAAGTGGAAATTAAGTGAATTTACTTAGGAAAGGTTGTTTCATGCTGGTGGTAATAGAGAATTGGTTATATAGGACGCCAATATTCAATAAATGTTCATTTTGGCCTTTTTTAAGTAAACATATTGATACTCACAATTTTCGATGGAAAACGCACCGGAACTTGATTTACTCAACACGCACCATACTATACAATGGTGCTAGATGGTCTTCAAAGTTATAACAAGATGACAAATCATCTTTATTTTGAGTAATTGAGCAATTTACTTCTGCTTACCATCATATTTACGATGCAGCATTGATGGAGCCGTGAAATGAAATGAATATGTCTTATGAAAGTTCACCTGGAAAAGTCAAAGATGCACATCAGTCTGATCGTAAAAACGTTTTCTTCTTCAATTCGAATGTTATATTGGAAGGATTTCACTCAGGCTTGATGAAAATTATGATTAAATGCTAATTTTCACGAATTTTATATGCAGTCTGTCAACATTATCATCATCATGCAGTGGCGACATCTGCGTTGAGCTTTTGCGGCAATCTTCCAATTGAACGTTGACCTTCAGTTGACCTTCTTATTCTTCTTTTTCTTTGGTTTTATCACGTCCCTTTATCCCTCAATTTAGTGGTCGAGATGCACTGTGGCATGTATAATCATATTCTTTACCCAGAGAAGTCGGCATTTCTAGACCGGACCGGGAATCGAACCCAGCCGCCAGCAAGTTGACCTATTATAATAAGTTCTTAATAGATTTAGATTAGAAAAGACTCGTACGGCCTGTAAACTAATTGCAAAGGCCCTTGAAGTTCACTTAAAAACCCACTAAAGATGACTGGTGTTGATCCAAGAAACATCTGATCTGGAATTGAATCAAAACGACGTTAAAATTAACTTATAATATTTGTGAAGTTAACTCATTCGACCTTTTTTTTATTTTTAAGGTCTCTACTTCCTGTCTATTCCTGACATAGCCTTTTTATTTCTGTAGAAGTTTGATCGCTTTGAAATTATTATTCTTGGATTCTGGATGCCTTCCTATATATACCTATATATGAAATACGACGATCTCAGAATGGTATAAATAATTAACAATTTATTTCTGCCCTCTTCCCCCACTTATATTTACAGAGACGTTGAGGCTGGAGATATTGTGACCGTTGGTGAGTGCCGGCCACTGTCCAAGACCGTGCGCTTCAATGTGCTGAAGGTGACCAAGCTCGCCGGAGCTAAGAAGAAGTTCAACAAGTTCTAATAAGCTAAGCGAGAGAAAACAGAAAAAAAGGAACGGTATGCAAAATGTGTGAGGAAGGAGTGAAATAAAATTCCATAAAATCAACACAACTTGAACGGAAAGCAATCAGCAACGATTTATTTAGTGAGGAAAGAAAATGGTCCAAGGTTAAGGAGGAATACGGGTGGTGTTCTAGGATGGTCTAGGTCTAGTTGTTCAGTTGAGCTTCGTCTGGGTAAGGTTAGCTCTGAGAGCCGGAATGAGAGCTTTTCGTGCACTCTGGCGCAGCAGGGTCAGTTTGAATTGCATCAGCACCACCAGGTAAGTTGCCATGAATGATATATTCTGAAAGCATTGAAAATTTGTCAAGAGATGCTTAATGGCACTGTATTTCCACTCAATCTTACCGATGTTATCAATCCGCGGTTGATGTTGGCGTACCCATCGAGATTCATGGTCGGCGGATTCTTATCGATGGCAACTAGGAACATTTCCACCTCCTTCTGCGTTGCCTTGTCCACCGCCGTGAGGTTCACGTTGAGTAGCCGTTGTTGGAAGTTCAGTCCAACCTTGAGTCGCGCGACCATCGACGACGACGGTACAGATTTGGTAAAGATATATGGCGTTAATTGAGTTGTAAACTCCCAATACAGGTCACAGACAGACAAACAGACGCACAGATTATGCGCTTCTCTTACCCTTTTGGAGGCGTGATGGGCCTCGTTGCAGATGATGAACAGCAGACTCATGCAGTAGAAAACAATGACGAATAAACCGACCTCCTTATAGGTCGCTCCGTGCTCGATGATTTCGCTCAGCGCTCCATAGGTGGCGATAATTGTGGTGAAGAAAATCACCAAACAATAGATACCGTACATGTTCGAGTACGCTTTTCCTTTTCATTCATATCCAAGATGAGCATAGCATACGACGATGGTGATGAGATGGCAGCGTGTTTGCGCGCGTGGAATCAAAACAAACATTAACAACAAAGATTAACATCAAGGCTCTTGAAGAAGTAAAATTTTTACGACTCTTTCCGTTTTCGATCGACGAAGCCGATAAAGTAGGCATAGGTACCTACCAAACCAACAACGACTGAATCAAATGAGAACAATGTAAATTTTATCGATCTACACACGAACAATGTTGGCGAAATGTAGGTACCTATCGCATAAATCGTTCCTGCTTAATAAGCTTACATAAATAAATACCAACCTAATTGTTGCATCATGTGACTGAGGTCGACCCATAGATGGCGATACTCGGTAAGCTTGTCGGCTGGACGCTCGGTGGCCAAAATATCGGTTAGTTCTTTGGCGAAGGCCTTGCTGGCCTCCCCGAAGGCGGTACAGTTGACGAACCTATGTAATAATAAATATCCTTGAATGGCTTGAATCAGACAGGATTGCTGATGGCATGTCATTTTTCAGTTAGGTTAGCTTATGTTAGGGCATTTCGAAGCAACATCTTAGCCGGTGGTTGGCTCAATGGGTTCTTATTATTAGAACCTATCTTAAGGCAATGAGTTGGATTACCGAGGTGAAGCATTCGGTTAAGTTGTTGAGTGAAACCAGTGTACGATACAAGCAATTAGTGATGTCACAAATTGCGTTAAACTAGTGATACTTTCGGCTTTCAGTTTTATGCTTAATTTTAATGTATACCGCATAGTTTTAGAACTTGAAAACTTCTCACGTTCCCTTATCTCTACTCACTAATCTCCCTCCGTGCCCGGAATATTTAATTTTTTAATAAAATACCCTGAATCTTTAAGATTTTTCCATATCCAGCCATATTTTCTAAGCATGAAATCATAAAAAAATCTGCCTCAGAATTTTTATTTTTTTCCCTAACCTTGAATCTTGGACCCTTTTTTGTGTGTTTTGACAGTGGATAAAATGAATTGAATACTTTAGGAGTATTGAGGTAGTTTTATATTCGTAATCTGCATTTCAAATGGATCCGAAATTCAAAATTTCATCAATTTTGGAGCGCTGAAACTATTTTAAATAAGTGTGATTACATTAGCAAAAAAATACCATCTTAGCGCCCCTCAAACAGTGAAGTGGTTACTTTGCTTTAAATCTTGATTTAAAAATCGAGATGAAAGTGTACGGGATCGAAAAAAAAATATCGTTGTGCTAGAAAACGGAGCCCTTGCAGATGATGTTTTAAAATTTTTCAAAACTAAAGAACCCAATTCCCTTATAATTTCCTCAATATTCTTGAATATCTTCTGCAGAACACTCTCTGAATTCTCATATTATTATTAATTGTAGCAATTCCCTGAAAAATACTCCTGAAAAAGATCATTATTTGTACTTCTGGTGCAGTATTGAAAACCCCCCGCAGAGATGCTAGCCGCTCCTTACCTACTACGAACATAACCCCACAGACAAACAGACATAACACATTGAATATTTCTCAATGTAAAACATCGTCGCTAAAACATTACCGCCATCTGTTGAGTACACTGTGGTGGGTAGTACGCTGAACAGATGGCGGTAGTGTGTAAACGTCAAATGCAAGGAAATTGACTATGCGCGCCACAGGTGGCGGTACTACCAACTACGATACTTTTAAATTGACCGTTAAATGCTTGTTCGAAGAACAACTTTCGACTGTTATGTCTGTTTGTCTGTGATAACCCTGTGCACTCCTCAACAGACGTGACTGGAGACGACGAGAGCACGCAGCTATCGTCTCTCTTCATCTTCCTCATCGAACCGTCATCGTGTGTGGATGCTTGGGTAAGTCGCTGGCAAAATTTGCAACTGCATTCCTCAGTGAATGGCCGAAATTCACATTGGCGATCCTGCCGGTGGAAACCACAAACGAAGTGACAGACGACTAATTGGCAAAGAAATCCATTTAAATAATGTGGTTCACTGTAATAGAATTTTCTTGGAAGCTTGTGCCATCATCCACCAGATGGGTTAGTTTTTTTGTTTTGAATTGAACAAAGTTGATTTTGTGTACAATGATTCTTTGACAGTGTGCAAAGAGAGCGTATCATTTTGTAATTTTTTAGTGCATTTCAGTTTTGAGTAGAGTGAAAGAGACAGAACCAAAACATTCTAGTACATTTGGTGAAAATGCTAGTTCAATCTAGTAGTAGTGTTGCCATGTGGTACAATCCAGTAGTAGTGGTGTTGCCATGTGGTACACTGAAAAATTGCAATAGCAGGTTAGTCACCAAAGTTTTTTAGCCGCTCCGCTAATAGTGTGAGGGAAGGGGGTGAGTTAAACGTTGCGATATGAGAGCGAATAGAGGCAAATAAATAGGGAAGACAACACCATGACCCAAATAAGTAACCAATGCATGCGGCTCACACTTAACTTGTTCTGTTTCTTTCTTTCTTCCTATAATGTACTAATATTAACTGCCTGAGGACAAATGGGAACACGACCAGAAGTTCAATAGGAGAAAATTCGAACAAGAAAAGAAGAATTCAACTTGCACCGGCAAGAGGAAGCAGACAGAAAGGATCATGTCGGTTGGAGACAGCCAATGTATACTGGACGAAGCTTGTATCTAGGAAAAGTCGTATGTGCAGGAAACCGTAAGTAGGATAAGAATCGTAAAAGGTGTGTGCTTGCTTGATAAGATCCTACACTATGTGATGTGATGAACTAGCCTACGGCTAAAAATCACAAAAATAAAGAAAAAAAAAAAAAAAATCCTACACGGAGAAAAAATACTACCCAAAATTTGAGTTCTTTTTACTTAATATTGACTTCAGCCTCTCACTTGCACTCGTTATTTTTGTCAAAAAAGGAACAAGAGATTCGACCCAACGATATAGTTCAGCCCAATAAGTTACTCTTGAGTAAAATGCATATTCTCAAATTTACGTGAATTAAACTTAATTTTGGGTAGAATATACTTAAGAGTAGGTATTTTTTTTTGTTGATGTTAAATCGAAACTACTATATGCGATTTACTCAAATTTGGGTTATTGGGCTGAACCCCGGAATTGAGGGAAAAGTACTTAATTTTGAGTAGTTTTTCATCTCCGTGTAACTTTACTCTAAATACACGGTAGGAATCGAATATCCATTTATGATTAAGGTTTTGCCCATTTTTCAGTGGGAGTGGCAATACTCATTGATGAGTGATTTATCGTACCCATTTATTAGTAACTGTTAGCAGCTAATGATTAATTGATTTACCTATTTTAGAATTACCTATACTTCACATCAGAACCTCATTTCCTTCAATTACTACTCCGTCGCAGCACACACCTTATATGGATCGCTAACCTTTATTTAGTTTCAGCATTTTCGACATTATAATCAAAAGGTGAGTTTTAAAAATATAATTACCATGCATGTAGATAAGTTAATGTACCAGAACCTGGACGGACACGAGCCTACCCAGGGGAGGACCCGGATACGACCACCCATGTGTGTCTAGAGTATCGCACGAGCTGGCGAGTGCAACGGGAAGGACAGTAGGTGTATAGACTAGGGGGTTGGTCCCTAGATAAGCCTTCTTAGCGGAAGGCACAGCCTATGCACTGAACAATTACAATTACAATTACAATAAAAGCCTTTTAAGATTGCACTCGTATACCTCCCCGTGGAATTTTTTTAAATCATCACTTTCATAGTTCTTCTATCTTTTTAATTGGCAAATCAAAGTTGGCACTCGTGGAGAATAGAAGAACTATGAAAGTGATGATGGTTTCAAAATTTTCCACGGGGAAGTATACGAGTGCAATCTTAAAATGCTTTTATTTTGAAAATGGAGCATTTTATTTAAATCTGGTTACTGCTACAGTGGAAGAAAAGCGGAAGTCTATGGTTACACCTAAAAATCTGAAAAGAAATTATGTTTTCTGTATTATATGTCTATTGAGTAGTCCAGAAGTTTTCTACTAACGTAGCACTAACCAGATTTAAATAAAATGCTCTATTCACAAAATAAAAGCATTTTAAGATTGCACTCGTATACTTCCCCGTGGAAAATTTTGAAACCATCATCACTTTCATAGTTCTTCTATTCTCCACGAGAGCCAACTTTGATTTGCCAATAGAAACTAAACGATCAATTCAACCTCTGGTGGTGAATAGGAGAACGTCAAAAAGAATGTTGTGAGCAGAAATTTTTGCCTTGAGACATAGGAAGCGGAACACTTTTTTACTTTTCCTGATAAATTGATTCATCTGAGATGCTGCAAAACTTAAGGCCGGCGCACAATAGATACGTTTTCGGGGTTTTTGACAGTTAGCCCATGCATTATCTGTCAAAAAACCCGAAAACTTATCTATTGTGCTGGTGTTCAGAAATATTTTTGTTGAGAAAAATGAAAAATTAGAAAAGTGCCTTAGTGGTTATGATCTTCCTGATTTCTTGTGTGTGAATAGTTAAGGTGCAAATCAGTTCAGATTTGTGGAAAATCGTACAATAAGACAATTACCGATGGAAATTGGCAAGATTTTGAATGAAAAATCCTGTTATTTGCGTTGGGGAAAATACTTATTCTGATTTAAACAAACGGTTTGGTTGACGTTTCTTCTCGAACTCGCGTGGCGCACTCTACGTTGGTGGTGCATTAAAAAGGCGTATTCTCCATGGGAGCCAACTTTGTTTTGCCAATCGTCTCTCTTCCTCTTCCTCATCGAACCGTCTTCGTGTGTGGACGCTTGGGTAAGTCGCTGGCAAAACCTACAACCGGATTCTTCAGTGAATGGCCGAACTTCACATTGGCGATCCTGGCAGGTCATTCCTGTGACTATTACCACAAACGAAGTGACAGACGACTAACTGGCGAAGAAATCAATTAAAATAATGTGGTTTGCTGTAATAGAATTTTCTTAGAAGCTACCAGATGGGCTAGTATTTTTGTTTTGATTTGAACAAAGTTTATTTTGTGTGCAATGATCTTTGACAGTCTGCCAAGAGTGTATCATTTTGTCATTTTTTATGTATTTCCGTTTTGAGTAGAGTGAAGGAGATAGAACCAAAACATTCTAGTACATTTGATGAAAATGCTAATACAATCCAGTAGTAGCAACAATCAATACGAAACTAACGATTTTAAATTGGCTCACCACTTTAGTAGCCTATTGGTCCCAAGCAAACGATTAACGTACCCTATTCTAGTTGAAATTCTATTACTACACCATGTTTGTTTTGATTCGCAATGAAAGTTTGACAGATAACATCAGGGGTGTGTGGAAACTATGCAGAACATGCAGGTGTGAGTGAAATAGCTTGGGACTGCTTGGGACCGTTGTTCTGGTACTGAAAGAGCCAAAAATAATAATGATTTTCTTCGGGACCCAGTGGTATTAGAGCCTCTATGGTAGTAGCAACAATCAATACGAAACTAACGATTTTAAATTGGCTCACCAC